CTGGAACTACAGGCACACGCTACCACGCCCGGCTAATTTTTTTGATTTATTTTAGAGATGAGGTCTCGCCAAGTTGCCCAGGCGGGTCTCGAATCCACGGGCTCAGGCAGTCCACTCACCTCAGCCTCTCAAGGTGCGGATTACAGGCTGAGCCACCGAGCCCGGCTAGAACAATCTTTTAAGGTTAATTGTTGTGATTTAAATTAGAGGCAGTATTCCTTTAACTATTAAGTATTTTTTTTGAGACAAAATTTTAATGCTTTCCTCGGTATACTCTTTAACAATATCAATCTGTATAAAGTGAAATGAACACCATTCATCATAGTTCTTCTTTCTTGTAAGTCCTGTCACCATCCACTGTTTGCATTGTTGCTCCCACTGTGTGCTCTGCAGGTTACTGGAGTTGGCTATAATCAGTTTGGGGAGGTGATTGTTGATGGTGACGTTGTCCATGGATTCTATAACCCAGCTGTCAGCCGAATTGTTGAGGTAGGTTCCTTGTTTTCTAAGTGGGTTACTTTCCTCATAGTGACGTAAGAACAGTGATTGCTTCAGAGTCTTGTGTGTGTTACTCCTAGGCGGGCTGCGTGTGCAACGATGCTGTCATTAGAAACAACACTCTGATGGGGAAACCAACCGAAGGGGCCTTAATTGCACTTGCCATGAAGGTATGTACCTGACCCCTTCTTTGACACTTGAGACACACCTGCGCAACAAATATGAGGCCATCAGTTCCAGTATTACTGGTTTTTAGGTACCGAGTGAAGGAAACACACACTATTTTGTTTTTACTGCCTTTCGGGAACTGGTTTTATTTTTGGAAATATAGAACCTAGAGCTTTTTAGGTGTAACCTTATTCCTGACATGCAAGTTAAAAACTAACAAGCACTCAAGGATTTCTTCTCATGGAGAAATGTTCCTGTCTTCCATAATATTGAAACCTGTGTGTGAAAAGCTTTGCACATACATGTGTGAGATTGCTAGTAAGTACTACCAACCTTTGGATGTGTATACCTTCTTCAGTATTTCCATGTGACGACATCAGTGCCATCAGGAGAAACCAGCTCTTCTGTCCAGTCTTTCCTTTTTCTCCTCTGTCAGTTTCTCAGAGTAGAAGTGGAGTGGAAATGGCGTTGGGAGGAGGGGCTGCTGTTCTCAGTGATTCGTTCTTTGGTCTCAGTTGGTCTCCTTGTCTGCTAAGGCCTACATTTGATTCTGTGAGAAACCTGGACGTCCAGTCTGTTGCTCTCCTAACAAAAGTAATGCTCCTACTTTTAAGAGTACCTGAGAAGATTTTGAGACTTGTGTGAAGCTGGATGCTTGTAAATGAGGTTACTAGAAAGAGGATCCAGTGTGGGATTGCAGGCTATTATGATGTATTTAATTTAATAGTAAAATGGATAGTTTTAGAATGTGTGTTTCTTTGACAGAAAGTGACATGTTCTTATCATTTGATCTCCCGGTAACTAAAGTAGCTAGCATAGTGTAGCTTGCTAAGAGATACTGAAGCAGTGAACCAATCACCAAGTGCTTCCTGTGATGTACTTCACAAGATACTGAATTCTCTGAGAGATAAAGAGGGTGAAACCGTCTCCTTATGGCAGAGACCTCACCTTTTCAGTAGGACATCAGCATTGATGTTCTTGGAGCAAGTAAAATGTAGACCCAGGCGGCAGACAGTGAAGGTGCAGCACTGGGCTGCATGTAACAGTGGTGCAGATGCGGCCTGAGAACTGGGGGTTTAGATGAGGGCAGCTAAGGAGGGAGCTAGAGGAGAAGCAGAGAGGAGTGAGCCAGGTGGGATGGTGGCCCGTGAGTCGACCGAGCTGGATGAAATGAAAGGGCTTGAGTGACTGAGGGAGTTGTGAATGCCCAGGTGTGGTGGGTGTGGGGAGGCCCAGTGAACGCCAAGAGCAGAGTCTGAACTTGTGTCTTTTTCTGATTTTTTTCTTTGTTGGTAGAGGTGGGGGTCTCACTATGTTTCCTAGGCTGTGGTCTCAAGCTTCTGGGCTCAAGCGATCCTCCCATCTTGGCCTCCCAAAGTGCAGGGACTATAGGCATGAACCACTGTGCCTAGCCTGAACGTTTCAGTATAAAACAAAAAGCCATGTCCTGTAGATTTTTGAGTCACTTAAAATATTTTTTGATATTTGGTGGCAGATGCAGAGGCTTTTGAGAGGGAGCATAGCTGCGTGACATTGGTAGTGGTCAGGTGATAGAGTGGTAGAGGGTGAGGACCTCGGATGGTAGCAACAGACAAGGCACACTTGGGTCCTAAGAAGTGAGGTTTGGACCGGAGGCTTCTGATGGCATGAAAATACATGCTGGGGTATTGGGTAGGAACTTTGGGTTTGTTTGTGTCCTGCTTGCTTCCAGAATTGAGCTGGTAGGTTAATATCGTCAGCGTTGAAGGTTTGGTTTACGTACAGTCCTGGTGACTGTGCCTAGACCAGCGGCCCCCGACTTCTTTGGCATCAGGGACCAGTTTCATGGAAGGTAGTTTTTCCACCAACTGGTGGCGGGGGAGGCGCAGCTGAGCCTCGCTGTTTGTGTTCACCGGTAGTTGCAGCCAGTCCTCAGCGCTAGCATCACTGCCTCAGCTACCCCTCTGGACCATCAGGCATTCAGTTCTCACAGGAGCGCACATCCTATTCATTCCTTGCCTACGCACTTCGCAGTAGGGTTCGCTCCTGAGAGAATCCAGTGGTGCTGCTGATGCGACTGGAGGCGGAGCTCAGGCAGCCAGGCGAGGGGTGGGGAGCGGCTGTAACGCAGATGAAACATCACTCGCTTGGTTGCCTGCTGTTGCTCTCCTGCCATGCAGCCCTGTTCCCAACAGCTGGGAGTTGGGGACCACTGCCCTAGACTCGGTCTGCACACCAGGGCCTCATGGTGGAGGTTTGTGCTGAAGACCTGAGAAGGGCAATATAGTTGATGGAGCATTGCTGCTCTGTCCCTATCCTTGAAAATAGGATATTTTCAAGTATCTCTAGACAGCCTTGGTACAGTTGTGACTTTTGTCTTTGTGAAAGCAAAAAGTAGTCACATGTTGGTGAAAAGTAACTTTCTTCTTGTGCCACCTAGATGGGTCTTGATGGACTCCAGCAGGACTACATCAGGAAAGCTGAGTACCCGTTCAGCTCTGAGCAGAAGTGGATGGCGGTGAAGTGCGTGCACCGGACACAGCAGGTATCCACAAAGAGGGCTTGTGTCCTGTGCAGCTGGGCGCCTGTGTGTTCACTGAGCATCCACCTTCAGGATTGAGCAGTCGTGCATAATACGGCCCTGTTGCTTTAAAGTGTGTGTATCAGCAGGACACTCATCTCTCATTGCTCTCCTGTTTTCATTGATACTCTCCCTTACAGAATCCATACACAGACATATTCCTGGAGTTAGTGCTGTGCAAGGAAACAGCCTAAAGAGATGGAGCCTGGTCTTGATCTCTTAGTGCTTGGGACATCAAATTTTCTCATTATATTTTTCCTCTTTTTTTGAGTTGGAGTCTCACTCTGTCACCTAGACTGGAGTGCAGTGGCCGCTCTCGGCCACTGCAGCCTCACCCTGCTGGGCTCTGGCGGTCCTTCTGCCTCAGCCTTCCAGGTAGCTGGATCTACAGACGCATGCAATACCACACCCAGCTAAGTTTTTGATTTATTGTAGAGATGATGTCTTGCCAAATTGGCCAGGCAGGTCTCGAACCCATGGACTCAGGCAATCCACTCACCTCAGCCTCCCAAAGCACTGGGATTACAGGCTGAGCCACCAAGCCCGGGCGTTTTTTTAACTTTAAAAAATTTTTTTATTTTAAAGATATGGGGTACAATTCAGGATTAGGTGTACAAGTGGACATTGTACAGGTAGTTTGGGCCTCCCTTGGGTCCCCACTTTGCCTGGTTTACGATCAGGTACCTTTTTGGATGCTGTGGCCCCACCTCCACCCTGCCAGTGTCCTACTACTGCCAATCCCTTTCTTACAGGATTATGGTAAATGTTCAGGGTCTGCTTATGAGCGAGAACATATGGTACCCTGTTCTTTGTTTCTGTGAGAGATCACTGAGTATTATAGACTCTGAATCTGTTCGAGTTGCTGCAAAGTCCATATGTTTGTCCTCCTTTATGGCTGCATGATATTCCCTTGTGTATATAGAAGTTCATTAGAGATCTCTGCTGACTGTTTTTCACTCTGTGTTCTTTGACTAAAGGAACGAGTGTCTTCAGAACAAACAAACTCACATTACTTCATGAAAAAGTGGTTCCCAAATTTGTGTGATTCATGTTGATTGATCCAGTTTATAAACACAAAATGACATGCACTGATATTTCGAGCCTACTACCTTGTTCCTGTGTGCTTTAGACATTTTTACAGTTAGCATAATAAAGAGTTCTGATTTATCTACGGTGTTTAATTATATCACTCATATAAGGGGGACCCTCCCCCCCAAAAAAACAATTATTTTTTGGAAGGCAGGCCCCTTGTAGTACACTCAGAATTTGTTCCTCTGAATCAGTCAACCAAAGGTTTTATCTGGAAGTTGTGAGAAGGTTGCATTGTGATTTGCAGAAGAAACATTCTGAGCAGTGGCAAACAGGTGACTGGTTCTTCCACCATGACAACGCATCTGCCCGTACTGCGCTGAGTGTTCGGCAGTTTTGGACTAAAAACAGCATGGCCCCCATGCCCCGTTCTCCTTATTCACCTGGTCTCACCCAAGCGACTTTTTTTGGTTTCTTGGGATGAAGCGCATCTTCAAAGGGAAACGTTTTGCTGATGTGGAAGAGGTGAAACACAATACAGAAGCACTCAAAGGCATCAAAATTGATGAGTTCAAAACTGTTTTGAGCAGTGGAAAAAGCATCTCAATAGGTGTATTGCATCAAACAGAGAGTACTTTGAAGGTGACCGAAGTTTAAATATGTAAGAATAAATACACAGTTTTTGTATGAATAAATTCTGGGTGATTAGGGGAGCACCCTGTCATAGTTGTTACTGGTTTGATGCTTAAACTGACTTTGTCCTTTAAAACTATATTTTTACACTTCTTTTAATAGGAATGAATAATTGTTTATGCACTTTCCTCTGTGGGCAACCACTATGAAACTGATTACATCTCTGTAGACTGGTATGAGTGAAAAAATTCTCCTACCAATAATAAATAGCAAATGAGCCGGGCTCGGTGGCCCAGCCTGTAATCCTGCGCCTTGGGAGGCTGAGGTGAGTGGATTGCCTGCGCCCGCGGGTT